CGCGGGGGGGCGTCGCCGCGGCTCCCGGCCCGTGACAGCCGGAGGAGGGCCGGGTTTCGGCCGCGCGCCGGCGGCCCCCGCCGTCGTCCTGGCTGCTCCGGAGGCCGAGACCTGGGGAGCGCGGCTCAGGGCCAGCCCGGGCAGGAGAGCGCAGGACGTGGCGCTGCGGCTCGGCTGAGGAGCTCAGGGACAGCGCCCAGGCCCGGAGCTAGGAAAGGCAGACGTCTGGGTTTTTCTACGACGTGCTGGATGCAGAACGTATCGTCTCTGCGGGCCGCAGCCAGCTATAGCATGTCCGGCCCTGGCGGCCGCCATCTCCAGTGTCCAGTCGTGACCAGAGATCCCCTGCCTGTGAGCACTGCGCCCCGCTTCGGGCCTCAGCTCCTCCAGCCCTGGCGTTCCCGCCGCACAGCTGGCCCCTGCCCCAGCCCAGACCCACCTGAACGCCATCTGCCTCACTTCCTACCCCCAGACCCTCTTGCTACCTAGATAGTGGAGGCTGCCAAGTGCTCTCTCTCCGGTGCAAATATGGCTCCTCTAATAAACCTTGTAGGGGCTGGGAAGGTGGGTCAGTGGTAGAGTGCTTGCCTTGCATGCCTGAGGCCCTGGGTTCGATTCCTCAGCACCACATAAGCAGGGGGAAAAAAGCCGGAAGTGGCGCTGTGGCTCAAGTGGTAGAGCGCTCGCCTTGAGCTGAAGAGCTGAGGGACAGCGCCCAGGCCCAGAGTTCAGGCCCACAACCGGACCCCCCAAAAAAACCTTGTAATAATCTTCCTCCGGTGCCTGCCTGTGCGTGCTCCCCTGGCATGGATGTGAGGATCCTTTCAATATCTACCTCTAAGGCTGCAGAGCAGTTTGCTACTCTATCCCGCCCACCAGAATAGCCTGTCAGCCCAGACTGATGTTAAAGGCTTCTTTTCTCCTGTGTCTGAGTGGCTTTCTGGATCGGTGCTTGAACAACCTACCAGAACCACTGGGCTACAGTAAAGGCGGTGCCAAGAGGAGAGTTATAGCTATGAGTATTTACATCAGTAAGACCGAATATCAAATAAATAATGATGCACCTGAAGCTCCTAGAAAAAAGAAGTAGCCAAACTGAAAATTAGCAGAGGACTGAGGATGTGGCATAGTGGTAGAGCGCTTGCCCTGGGCTCCATTCCTCAGTACCACTTGCACAGAAAAAGCCAGAAGTATCACTGCGGCTAAAGTGGTAGAGTTGTTAGTATTATGCTCACCTTTGGTCCTCAGCTCCACCCACACCTGGGCCCCTTCCCATTCCTGGTGTTCCCTCCATACAGCTGGCCCCTCCCTCTCTCCACCCAGACCCACCTGAGCTCCCATCTACCTCACTTCCTATCCCCCAGACCTCCTGCTACCTGGATGGTGACAGGGGCCATGTGCTCTCTCTTGGGGGAAATATGGCTCCTCTAATAGTCCTTATAATTGTCCTTCTCCTCTGCCTGCCTTCCTCATGTTCCTCTGGGTTGGATGTTTCCGATTCTCTTTCAAGAGTGCTAACCTTGAGCAAAAGAAGCTATGGGACAGTGCCCAGGATCTAAGTTCAAGCCCCAGGACTGGCGGAAAAAAAGAAAGGAAGAATATTGGCAGATTGGGAGAAATGAAAACTAGATAGGCCAGGCCCCAGTAGCTCATGATTGTAACCCTAGCTACCCAGGAGGCTGAGATCTGAGACCAGTTTGAAGATAGCCCAGGCAGAAAAGGAGAAATGTGCTTCAAGTGGTAATGCACTATCCTTAAGCTAAAAAGCTCAGGACAGCACCTGGGTCCTGAGTTCAAGCCCTAGGCCTGACCTACAGACAAAAAAAAAAAAAAAAAAAAATGATTAAGCTGGAAGCTGGCACCGGTGGCTCAAGCTTGTAATCTTAGCTACTCAGGAGGCTGAGATCTGAGGATATCAATCCAAAGCTAGCTAGGCAGGAAAGTCCATGAGATTTATACCTCCAATTTGTTAGGAAAGCCCAAGTAGAAGGGGGCAAAAAGGCAGACCTCAATAGGTCAGATTTTATTCATCACTGGAGAGGGGCACCAAGTATCCTGGAGCAGGGTCAGAGGTATAGGGAGTGAAGGGGGAAATGCAATAGGGAGGGGTTGGAGAGGTGGGTGGGGATCCAGGGCTTAAGTAAACAGTCAACAAGGAAGTCAACTCAGCCCCCACCAGGGCCTGGGCTACTTTCTCTTGTACATCTGGGGTGAGGTTTTTAATTGCTTAAGGTGGGGATTTCCAAGAAAGGCCCTGGGCAGGGAGTGTCAAGTGGGCCTGAAGGCAGCTTTGGGTTATGAGAACAATGCAGATTCCCATCACAATCACAAAAAGCCGGAAATGGAACTGTGGCTAAAGTGGTTGAGCCCTAGTCTTAAGTACAAAAGTTTAGGGACAAGCTGGATATTGGTAGCTTAAGTCTGTAACTACTCAGAAGGCTGTGATCTGAAGATTGTGGTTCAAAGCCAGCTTGGGCAGAAAGTGCTTGAGACTCATCTCCAATAAACTACTCAGAAAATGCAGGGAGTGGTGCTGTGACTCAAGTGGTAGAGCACTAGCTATGAGCAAAAATAGCTCAGGGACAGCACCCAGGTCCAGAGTTCAAGCCACAGAACCAAAGGAAAAAAAATAGATACAAATTTAACTTAATTAACTTTCAACAAAATTGAGACAAAAAATAATAAACTTTTAGCCAATACAGCCAAAAGGAAAAAGAACAAAGACACAAATTAATAAAATTAGAGACAAAAAGGTGAACATTAAAACAAATACCAGTGAAATTCCAGACAATCATGAGGAATTTTAATTTTTGTCCGTTGTGAGGCCTAAACTCTAGGCCTGGACGCTCTGAGCTCTTCAGCTCACAGCTAGCGCTCTACCACTTGAACCACAGCACTGCTTCAGGCTTTTTCTGCTTCTGTGGTTCTGAGGAATGGAACCCAAGGCCTCATGCATGCAAGGTAAGCACTCTACCACTGAGCCACCTTCCCAGCCCCATGAGGAAATATTATGAAAAACTATATTCAAATGAAATGGAGCATCTAGAAGAAATAAATTATAATTTTTGCATTTGACCTACCAAAACTGAGAGGAGATAAGCCTTAAATAGATCTAGGCTTGGGATGCGGCTTCGTGAACAGCGCTTGCCTAGCATGTATGAAGCCTTGGGTTCCATTCCTCAGAACCACATAAACAGAAAAAGCTGAAAGTGGCGCTGTGGCTCAAGTGGTACAGTAGCTAGCCTTGAGCTGAAGAGCTGAGGGACAGCGCCCAGGCCCAGAGTTCAAGCCCCACGACTGACCAAAAACAAAACAAAACAAGAGTCTCGTGGACTTCCCTGCCTAGGCCGAATACAACAAAGGACAGGAAAGTGAACAGGCACCAATGGGGGCAAACACTGCTGTCCAAGTCTTCTGCCTTCTGTGCTACGCTCAGGCCCTTCCCGTGTTTCCATATTATGTCCAAGTCTTCTGCCTTCTGTGCTACGCTCAGGCCCTTCCCGTGTTTCCATATTATGAACTGGGTTTAGGAGGGAGTTGGCAAATTCTACACCTCTCTCGTGTGGTGGGGAAGGTTCTTGAAGGATCCATCCATGTCTTCTGGAGTTGGTCCAAGTATTTGGCTCCAGTCCTAAGAGCTTCGTCAGGCCCAGGGGCCTCAGAGGTGACCCTCCTGCCCAGGTCACGTGGCTCCAGGAGGGCCTCTGGAGCCCGAGGTGAACCTGTCCCTGGCTCCGTCTGTGGTATTGAGTGAATGACATTTGGATCTGACACCTATAGGCTCTTTATCCTTTTGTTCTTTCCTACTACCTCCTTTCTGCTACACGTGGAGTTCACTTCATGGCTAGAGCTCTGCCGGGCATTTTGGATGAGGGGAGTTATAGGCTGAATTGTATTCAACAAAAAGCTAAGGAGCTGGTTACGGTGGCCAGTACTGTAGTCCCTGCACTCGAGCCAGCAGGACTGCGTATCTTATTTTAAGACCCTGGCTAGAACACTGGAGAGACTCTGTTTCAACCCTTAATGGGGGGGGGGGGGGCGGGGGCGGGGGCACGTTGTCGTGAAGATGGAAGCAAAAGCTAAAGTCAGGTTGTGACATGCCAACAAACACCCCGTGCCACCAGATGTCAAGTAAAGGCTCACAGCAGATTCTCCCCGGGACTTTAGAGACTTTTGGGGGAGGGTCAGTCATGGGCTTGAACTTCGGCCTGGGCGCTGTCCCTCAGTTCTTCAGCTCAAGGCTAGCGCTCTACCACTTGGGCCACAGCGCCACTTCCACTTTTTGAGCAGTTAATGAGTGATAAGAGTCTCTTGGGGACTTTCCTGCCCAGGCTGGCTTCAAACTGTGATCCTCAGATCTCAGCCTCCTGAGTAGCTAGGACGACAAGTGTGAGCCATTGGTTCCCAGTAGAGACATTCTTTTTTTTTTTGGGTCCAGTCGTGGGGCCTGAACTCTGGGCCTGGGCGCTGTCCCTCAGCTCTTCAGCTCAAGGCTAGCGCTCTACCACTTGAGCCACAGAGCTACTTCTGGCTTTTTTTCTTTTTGCTTATGTGGTATTGGGGAATCGAACCCAGGGCCTCATGCATGCAAGGCAAGCGCTCTACCACCCAGCCACCTTCCCAGCCCTAGGGACATTCTTCAAGCAAGCCTCCACTGACATCTTGGCTTTGGAGTTCTGTGAGAGCATACATTTCTGTTGTTTTAAGCACCCAATGTGAGCTAGGCTGCGTTAGGGCAGACCCCAGACCTCAGCACTAGGACTCCACACCGCTGCCTCTGCCGACGCCTGAGAGCCACTGTTTGCCACACTCTGCCGGGTCTGTACGCAGTGTTGGTGACATGGGTTTCAGCTGGGAGCCTGGACATTTCCTCTGGCCGTTCTTCAGGCGGGATCTCCACCACAGAGAAGACAGCTGACTGCTGGTAAGTTCCTAGTGAAGGACCGCAGGAGGCAGCACCCATGCCACGAACCCTTCCTTCCAGGCAAGCAGAGCACGGGTGCACTTCAAGGGTAGTCTTTATTGAGTCAGAGATGGGACACAGGCAGGGGGACTATTGAAAGCCTTGGACACGCTCTGGCCACTGGGCAGGGGCCCAGGCCAGGGGAGGCGGGGCCAGGGGTCAGGGGCCAGAGCAGCGCATCAGAAGGTGATGCTCTCCTCGTACAAGGACAGCAGCAGCAGGATGGTCCAGCCACCCAGGAGGCCCAGGTTGTGCAGCAGGAAGAGGAGCCAGGGCCGTGGGTCCCGCACATTTAGCACAGCTGGGAGCTGAAGAGGAGGAGGCCCCGCTCAGCAGCCGCCACGGAGCTCCGGCTCCCCCCCACCTGCCCAGCCAGCGCCTACCATGTCACTGAGCGCCACGTAGAGGAAGAGGCCGGTGGCCACCGCCAAGATCCAAGCCTCACTCTCCTCACCAACCCCGATGGCCAGGGCCAGGTAGAGGCCGGCGAAGGCTGTGAGTGCAGAGCCCAGGTTCAGCAGCAGTGCGCGCCTCACAGTCAGCCCCGCCTGCAGCAGGGCCGCAAAGTCTCCTGGAGTCGGGTGGGATGGGGCGTGTCACATCAGGATTCACACATACCTGGAGGACTGTGCCCAGAGCCACGCACATTCACACACACACACACACACACACACACACCTGGAGGACTGTGCCCAGAGCCACGCACATTCACACACACACACACACACACACACACCTGGAGGACTGTGCCCAGAGCCACGCACATTCACACACACACACACACACACACACACACACACCTGGAGGACTGTGCCCAGAGCCACACACATTCACACACACACACACACACACACACCTGGAGGACTGTGCCCAGAGCCACACACATTCACACACACACACACACACACACACACACCTGGAGGACTGTGCCCAGAGCCACGCACATTCACACACACACACACACACACACACACACACCTGGAGGACTGTGCCCAGAGCCACGCACATTCACACACACACACACACACACACACACACCTGGAGGACTCTGCCCAGAGCCACACACATTCACACACACACACACACACACACACACACACACACCTGGAGGACTCTGCCCAGAGCCACGCATTCACACACACACACACACACACACACACACCTGGAGGACTGTGCCCAGAGCCACACACATTCACACACACACACACACACACACACACACACACCTGGAGGACTCTGCCCAGAGCCACACACATTCACACACACACACACACACACACACACACCTGGAGGACTCTGCCCAGAGCCACGCACATTCACACACACACACACACACACACACCTGGAGGACTGTGCCCAGAGCCACACACATTCACACACACACACACACACACACACACACACACACACCTGGAGGACTGTGCCCAGAGCCACGCACATTCACACACACACACACACCCCTGGAGGACTCTGTCCAGAGCCACACACATTCACACACACACACACCTGGAGGACTGCCCAGAGTCACACACATTCACACACACACACACACACACACACACACACACCTGGAGGACTGTGCCCAGAGCCACACATTCACACACACACACACAC